AAGGGCAGGGGTTAAAGCAGCTGTGCACAGCACTGTCTATTCCAGTGGGACATTTTGGGTGGGTTAGCTCATGTGCACAATGTCAAAATTTTGATAAATGACAGAGCCAAGAATAAAGAAACAGAAGCTAATTGGGGTAGATTAGATGTATGCCTTTTATACTTGGGCAGAGCCAGCAGCCTTGGCCCAAGCCAAAAGCTACATTTCCTGGTATAAATTAAAAATCACTTCATAAATGTATGGAAAATAAAAATATCTACTTCAGGGCATTTGGTTTAGGTAGACCTTGAATATAAAGTCTTTCAATGCCTTGAAATAAAGTCTACTTTCTGCTTTCTATTCCTTTCAATCTCTTCCGGTTGATCACTTGCTGACAATATTCGTCCTGTTATAAAATCTTCCCTTACTACTCCTGCCTCCTCTGTTGAAAGTCAACATAAATCAGAACTTTTTATAGGAGTAGGTGTGGTCTAGAAAGGAAAGAGCTGTGTTAAGCAACCTAGAAGAACACTGAAGTCAACAGACACAATGTCTTGTTAGGATGGGGGAAGGCAAGCAACACGGAGAAGAGAGGTACCAAATATATTTTTTTTAAAAAAATACAGAATTACATACTAGTCCTGTATGTTCCCAGGTCCTTTGTAATCTATTCTTGGTTTAAATCTCGATGTTCCATTTGGTCCCCTCTCACATCTTGAATGCATTAGAAGCTGGCTTAAATTTTACCCTAACACCCACTGATTATTTGATCCAAGCTGCCTTTCAAGAGACTATTAAAAAAACACTCATGAAGCTAAAGCCCTTGTCTGGTTTTGCAGGCTTTCAAAAGATTCTAAGTAAGCTCTATGGAACCCAGGTCTCTGTTTTTGCTCGTCATAGTACCCGGCACATACATGTAAATAACAACTCCATAAAGTTTTCAGGAGTGGGAAAGGAGAGGAGAGAGAAAGGATTAAGTCCAAGGTAACTGGCAAGGCACATTCTTTATGGCCCTGGCTTTGTTACTGCTCAGTCCCTGCCTAGGTCTGAGACCTGAAGTGGCTTGTCTTACGTCATGCGCTGTCACAATCTGATGCATTCACACACCTGCACACCCTCCACTGGACATGCCCTGCTCAACCATCTATGTCATGTGGTGAACCTTAGGGACCGTGTGAAAACCTCTCCTGCATGTACTGTGTTGATCACTCTTCTATGCTACTGTACCTTGTATATATAAGGGTGCTTCTAAAAGTTCTAGGAAAATGGAAGCTAAATTTATTTTGGTATGAAAACCTTTTTGTAATCCACATGGTTTCTACACAATATTTTCCATGAACTTGAATATTTTCTACATAGTATTTTCCATCAACTTGAAGACCCCTCACTTGTACTGGGTTGTCCTTCTATTTATTTTATATTTTATAGTTGGAGGTTTTGGTGTATGGCTTATATCCGAGCTCTTTACTGGCAGAGCCGGGGCATTTGACATCTCTGCACTGACCCCTCCAGCTGCGGACATGCATTCAACACTCACTGACTCCTAGTTCGCACTGAGCACTGCTCCAGCCACTGAGAACACAGCCGCCCACGACACAGTAAAAACCCTTGCCTTTAGGAATTTACAAACAAAATGAATAAACAAACTACAAGAGTGCTGGGGGAAAACTCAAGGAAGGCAGAGAAAAACAGAGAACATGTGTCTGCACATGCGTGGACGCTCACATTGTCAAGCATAGTCCTCCTAGGAGAGGGCACTGCGAAGTGTAAAGGCCCTCAGGTGGGGAAGAAACTGGGGTATGCATGGGACAAGGAAGAAATAACTGTGTGGGAGCAGAATGACCAAGGAGGGTGGTAAGAGATTAAGCCAGGAGAGGAGGGTTACAGAGTTACAGGGTTACAGAGGCTCAGACCATACAGGGTTAGAGAGGCCACTCTAAGGCTTTTTTGTGTGTGTGTGCTTTTTTAAGATGTATTTGTTTGAAAGGCAGAGTTACAGAGAAAGAGGGAGAGACAGGAGATGGGGTAGAGGAGAAAGTGAAAGGGGGTAGGGGGTAGGAGAAAGATCTTCCATCCAATGGTTCACTCCCTAGATGGCCTCAATAACCAGGGCTGGGTCAAACCAAAGCCAGGAGCCTGGAACTCCATCCTGGAACATCTATCCCTGATGTGAATAGCAGGGGCCCAAGCACTTGGGCTATCTTTGGCTGCTTTCCCAGGTGCATTAGCTGGGAGCTGGATCAAAGTGGAGCACCTGAGACTCACAGAGGATGCTAGCATTGCAGGCGGCCGCTTAAGCCACTGCGTCACAACGCCAACCCCAGGGCTTTAGTTTTTATTCTCAGTGAAAACAGAAATCATTGGATGGGTCTGAAGAAAGGAGAGAAAAGTTCTAGCTCGCAGTTTCAGAAGGTCACTCAAGCTGCCGACCTGAGAGCAGTCCCGAAGAGAGAGATGACGGAAACAGTGAGACGAGTTGAGAGGCTGTGGCCATAATCCAGAGGTGTGAGATGCTGCTGTGTCACATCAGTAGGACAGCAGAGAATGTGCAATGAGCTCTTAGATTCTGGATGAGCTCTGAGAATACAGACAGAAGCACTTGGATGAGACACGTAAGAGAACAGTTGAGGGTAACTCCATGATCTAGGGTCGAGGGTCTCAGAACACATCAACAGGGGAGGCTATGGGGAGGATCGGGTTTTGGAAGAAATTTGGAAGTTTGAGAAGTCCATCACATATCTTAGGTGATGTTGAATAAGTATTTTAATAGATATACAGGTCTGGAATTCAGAAGAGAGACAAGCAAAGGAATGGTATTTAAAACCCCAACACCGGCCGGCGCCATGGCTCACTAGGCTAATCCTCCGCCTTGCGGCGCCGACACACCGGGTTCTAGTCCCGGTCGGGGCGCTGGATTCTGTCCCGGTTGCCCCTCTTCCAGGCCAGCTCTCTGCTGTGGCCAGGGAGTGCAGTGGAGGATGGCCCAAGTGCTTGGGCCCTGCACCCCATGGGAGACCAGGAGAAGCACCTGGCTCCTGCCATCGGATCAGCGCGGTGCGCCGGCCACAGCACGCCGGCCGTGGCGGCCATTGGAGGGTGAACCAATGGCAAAGGAAGACCTTTCTCTCTGTCTCTCTCTCAGTGTCCACTCTGCCTGTAAAAAAAAAAACAAACAAACAAACAAAAAAAAACAACACCCAACACCAAATGAAATCACCGAAGGACTCAATGTACAAGGAAGAGAAAGACGAACAAAGGCGTTAGCCCTGGCTCTCCAGGATGCCTAGCTGATGAGGCAGAAGCAGCAAAGGAGACACAGGAATAGCTAACGCTACAGAAGGGAAAGCAGGAAAGTGGAGTTGCGGAAACCAGGGGATTTAAAAGGGGGCAGCTGTCTACGTGTCAGCGACTGCTATGGTCAAGCACAGCAAGGACTGAGATGTTACCCTTGAATTTAGTAATGTGAAGCTGCCTGGTGATTTTCATAGGACCAGCTTTGGCTGAACAGTGTGCGTCAAAGTGTGACCAGAATAGGTTTAAGAGAGTGGAAGAGGGGTTGGTGCTGTGGCGCAGCAGGTTAAAGCCCTGGCCTGCAGTGCCGGCATCCCATATGGGCACCAATTCTAGTCCCTGCTGCTCCTCTTCCGATCCAGCTCTCTGCTATGGCCTGGGAAAGCAGTAGAAGATGGCCCAAGTCCTTGGGTCCCTGCACCCATGTGGGAGACCCGGAAAAAGCTCCTGGCTCCTGGCTTCACATTGGCGCAGCTCCAGCTGTTGAGGCCAATTGGGGAGTGAACCAGTGGATGGAAGACCTCTCACTCTCTCTGGCTCTACCTCTCTCTGTAACTTTCAAATAAAATAAATCTTAAAAGAGAGAGAGGCCGGCGCCGCGGCTCACTAGGCTAATCCTCCGCCTAGCGGCGCCGGCACACCGGGTTCTAGTCCCGGTCGGGGCGCCGGATTCTGTCCCGGTTGCCCCTCTTCCAGGCCAGCCCTCTGCTGTGGCCAGGGAGTACAGTGGAGGATGGCCCAGGTGCTTGGGCCCTGCACCCCATGGGAGACCAGGAAAAGCACCTGGCTCCTGGCTCCTGCCATCGGATCAGCGCGGTGCGCCGGCCGCAGCGCGCCAACCGCGGCGGCCATTGGAGGGTGAACCAACGGCAAAGGAAGACCTTTCTCTCTGTCTCTCTCTCTCACTGTCCACTCTGCCTGTCAAAAAAAAAAAAAAAAAAAAAAAAAAAAAAAAAAGAGAGAGAGAATGAAAGAGAGCAAGTATAATATCCAACAATTTTCCCAAGGAATTATGTTGTAAAGAAAATGGGGAAAAAGGGACAGAGAAGAATGTGAAGTCAAATGTGAGGAGAAATAACTACATTTTATATGCATGTAGGATCTCCGTTAGAATGGGAAATACTGATGAGGACAGCAGGCAGGACAGTGTGATAGCCGTGTTTAAGTCGTCTGGGAATGTTTCTAGTGTCCAGCTGGGCGGGCTGACAACTGCTAGCACGCAGTAATGGGAGAGACTCAGAACACCAGGGACAGCTGTGCTCAGGGGGCCTCGTGGACATCTTCATTTTGCCCATTTTCCCAGTGAACTAGTAAAGCAAGGTCATCGAGGGAGAAAGAGACTGAGATGAGAAGGGGCTGCTAGACCTTAAAACAGGAGAAAAAGTCTTTCAGGAAAGTGCAAAGGGAGTGGATATTTAGAGTGATGGTTGGGCATCCGTAGGGGCCCCTGATGCCCAAAGCAAGATGAGTCATCAGGGCTGTAGCCAGCCTGGCTCAGCTTACAGATGCAGGTGCACAAACTGGACTATCCAGGGTTGTGGGAGTAAAAGTGTAAAGTAAAGTAAAAGTGACAAATATTTGTTGGATGGACTGGACCAAACAACACTCATTTCTTCTCTTCACAGAGACGACAGAAGGTAGCTTTCTCTTGGCATCCCATGCCCACCCCACCGTGGTCTGTCTTCATCAAGTTAAGAATCCAAAGAAAGTCAGTATTCTAAGATACTCACCGCCCTTCAAATCTGTGTTTTAAAAAATCAAACAGCGCTTTCTGCATCATATCTGTGACCTGCAATTAAGCATTAAGATATGAGAAAAATATTAATCATGACTGAAAAAATTTTACTCTTCCTAAGAACACTTGAAAACCATTTTCCACTTGGAAGAAGTGGCTTGTAAGTTGCCAAATTTTTCTGAGTCTTGGTTCAGTGACAAAAAGCCAAAGTTCCCTGAACTTGTATCATGATGTTTTGGAGACAACAACATATTGCTTTGCAACTGGCTTCACTCACTCTCCATCTGACTTTTCCTGGGCTGAGTAAATCGCATCCAGCAGAAATGTCCAAAGCCACAGCCAGGAAAACCACACAGAGCAAAACAGTAAGCAATGTACACACACCTTGGCTGTGACTAGCTCTTCCGGGTCTGGATCCCAGAGTCGGGAGTGACAGGTACAGTCACAAGGCAGTGAGGCAGCCACTCACCTCATACCCCTTCAGGGAAGGGCCCACGAGGACCACGGGTCGCATGGAGGGCACCACATCATACGGAGGAGTGTGCTCTGTCTGCAGAGAGAGGAGAGGCGTTTAAACGTTCACGGCAGAGGAAGCTTACATACCCGATACACGCGGTCCTCTCTCTCAACTCCATAATGTGAGGCGTTGGCGTTCTAGATATTAAGATTTTATTTTTAAGTTGCCTCTTGTCTAAACAAACCCATTCCAAACAGTTTCCAAGTTACTGACTGATCTACAATTTTCTCACTCTCTTTCAAGAAACGCTACTGCGGTGTTAGTTCCTGCGGTATTAGGTGCTGCTTTTGAATGCAAACAGAAACATGCCTCATGCAGGAGAGCTGCTTTAGGCTTCACCGGAGGTTAACGTTGCTGTTCAGATACATTTGCGTTTTCTGAAGAGTTGAGATGCTCAAACCTAACATGGTTTAATTACGGACAAAAGAAGGATGCCATTATCGTTGCATCCTAGAGGTTTATCTTACCTGGATAAAATCTAGTTTCAGAACATTTTAACTCTCACGATCAAATACTTTTTAAAAATCTATTTTATTGTGAGAGTTTAAATCACAGCGCCTGTTCCAATACACAGTAATCATGATCGCTGCTCACAGCATACTTAAGAATGCTTTGGGATTTTATGGTTTCTATGGCTTGGTATTTAAAAACTTACAATGCAATCTTTAAATGTTTTGGTGGGAAAGTAGTTGTTGTGTAATAATATAATCCACTGTGCTTCAGTGGCTCCAAAACATTATCATTTTTTATATCTAATATGCTTCTGTAGTTTAGGTAGCATTTCTCTCATGACTAATTCATTTCTTTCTTGTTTAGAAGAGCAAGGGAAGAGAGCTAAATTTTCTAACAATTCCTAAAAGTATCAACACCTTTCAGCTTACTTGCTTCAAATTATATATTTCAAAAACTTAGATAATTTGCTTGATTATATGAAAACTGCCTCTACTGATAATAGAAAATAGTAAGCTGATCCAAAACTAAATTTTTTTTAAATGCAGAAGACAAACAGATATGGCTTTAGACACTGGAATAAGCAAGTTGTTACATGAATCTTCAATAAGGAGTATCTCAAAATATGTATTTTCAGAATCACACGCACCAAAAGAGGGTTGTACTTAAACTATTTTAAGAATTTGATAAATTGATTTGTAAATGTGACTGGAATTTTTGCATCCTGCCTGTCAGTCACAAACATTTTATTGTTGCTTAAAATTGTTCACAGCCAACTTTCCAGAGCTTCATTTGAATTTAACTTGCTTAAGGGGAATTAAAAAGTATTTCAAATTCAAAAGCTTTCCTCTGAGATTTCACCAATAGGCACAGGCAATATGATCGGGGAGAAAAACATTACCGCTGCTGTGCTGTCAGATTTTACTGCTTAAAATTTCACCTCACATTCAAAATTAATATTAATAAGCACAGTAAAGGTAGAATACATTTTTGAACAGAAAAAAAAAAACAAGACAAACATAATACAGTGACAGCACAAATGCCACAGAAGCACCACTCTAAAAGCAACCTAAAACATGGAAAATAACCTTATTTTGAATCTCAGGTTGTTTTGCTTTTTTGAACTCTGCATCGAAGTTTACCGCATAATCAGTAACATAAGAAGAATGAATACCAGTGCCGAAGGCATCATAAGCATGTTTATTAAGTTATTACACTTTATACCACCTGGGTTCACACTGAAAGTGTTTAGAAGCCAAATCATTATTATGATGCAGTAACAGAATACCTTTTCCACCATTATAATTAGTAATATAAACTGCATGCATTTTAGTAACAGCTACCAAGAAATTTTGTTTCAATTCTTTAAGTCTGAAGTGGCCCAGTCTTTGATAAGTCTCTGGTTCCTTTGAACTGTGTGACTGCCAACTAGCAAAGGGTTATCCATGCTGGCAAACAATCAGCTTCTTAATCAGTAGGGTAGCTACAGAAATTACCTTATTTGATGGAATATTGGTATTTTGTGCCCTTTTGATAATGACACCATTATTTTTCCCACCCTACTTTGAATTCCTTAGTGGGAAAGTGTGATAAAGTGAAAGTCCTTAAAGTTTTAGAATTTATGGGTCAGCAAACTTCACTAAACTGTCTTCGCTAACATGTTTTTAGTCCTGTTCCCACTCTGGTAAGTTCAGAGCAGCTTAGCCGATTCCCAAGCTTCTGAACTAAGGACACTGCTGGTCACTTGGCTCAAAGATTTGGCTGCGATGAGAAGACAGGAGCAGAGAGATGGGTGGGCCCTCTGTTGTAGAGGAACATCAAGATGGGGCTCTCTTTGGTGACACAAAAATCCAGGTGTTTTAATTTTTGCCCACAGTGCTGAGGTCTTCTCTTACTAAAGTAACCGTAACTGATTAAAAAACAAGACTTTACAGCCCAATCACTGTCTTTAGAGTTCTTCCTCCAGAGAGCAACCACTTGTTTGCAGAGAACGAGCTCTGCGTGCTGAGAGGCTGGGGCAGAGAGTGGAGTTCACTTCATGTGTACAAGTGCACAGGTGTCATGGTTGCACTTGGTGACATCAGGATGGAGGACTCTAAAAGCACCGTAGCTGTGGAAAGTGGTATGGAAAAGAAGGGGAAAAATGAAAACCAGGGGAAAGGGCCTGAAAAAAGTACTGCTTGAAGCTACAAAACTCTCAGAGGAAACAGACTTTGTTTTGAGTAGAGAGAGCTCTGGAAGACCCTGTGGTTTCTAGCCAGGGGACAAGTAGCATCCTTGTGTAGCACTGGTTGGCCAACGGCAAAGGCTCTACGTGTGGCCACCAGCCCCACTGTCCAACAGGTGAGATGCTGAATTCTGACTGATGGAGAAGGCAAGAACATTGGGAGAGTATTTATACATGACAATAGGAAAAACTCACAGTAAACCGCCAAAACAAGCCTGCAGTTTTCCACTGGTCTTGTTCATCTGCAGATTTTGCACCTAGTGGATTAGAAGTTTAAATACTGACTAAATTAAAAATTGAATATTCCTTTTTTTTCTAGTACAAGCTATGTATCTGGATATCATAAATCAGAATCTAATAACTGTTTTCATATGCTTGATTATAAGTTAAATTTCTGGAGAAAAGAAATAGACAAAGACAGACAGAATAAGCATGCACAATTGAGGTGCATTATATGGGGTTGTCAGTGTTTGACATCCTTGAATGTTTAAACAAATTCCCTTGGTGGTAGATATTATTCCATCAAAAAGGATAAGTACTGTAATGGTGTTTTAACAGGTCACTCACTCAATTTAGTTGGTTTGAAATTCATGGACTCAATTAGCTGTTGATAGGTTCTTTTCTTAAGACGGAAATGATTGCATTTAATAGAACCGTGGGAATTAATGCTAATGATGCCAGTGGCAGGATAAACACAGCTTATGTCAATGTAAACTTACCGATTTCTGCTTCTGCTTAGCTACAGCAGCATGGAAAAGAAACAAAGAACAACAGAGCATGCATGTTATTGGCTTGTCAAAGGACGCAGACGGTCAACAGGACTAGAAATGTGACGCAGTGCAGTTGAGCGGGTGGACAATGGGAGCCGGGAAGTTCATGTTACCTTCTTAAAGAAGGGCATTCTTTTCTCTTTGGAGTGGGGTGACGTTACACTGTTTGCACTGGGTTTAGGGGAGCGGTGGTTTGCTGGAATATCATTTTCTTCTGCATCTAAGCCAGTAGCATCTATGTCTATAGCTATATACAGACAAACAATTCAAAAATCATCAGGTGGACAGGAGAGGAAAAACAGGTTATAAAGAAAATAAAATGAAAGCAAATAAAACTATCCACTATAAAAGGTCTACTATGAGTGTTCAACACAGTACACAAAGAAAGTAAAATTTAAAGGTACAGCATGTTAAGAACACAATGTAATCAAATCTAACAAAACTGAGATATCCTCATCATATTTGCTGGAACCAATCAGTTTCATGCTGGATCTCTTAATATTTTAGAGAAATATATTTATAATATATACTTTAAAATGATAATGTTGATACTCTCCATATCAACTGGGTAAAAGTACAGTATAGAACATTTGCCCTCATTTTTTACAATATCTTAAACCCACTTTTAGATAAAAGCAACTACATTAAAAACCTTTATTACAATGTGCCTCAGATTTCGCATTTTGCTAGAACTTGTATGTATTATTACTTGTATGTATGTATTAAGGGCAGTATGAAAAGGTTTGCTGAAATTGCAATTGGCAGTTGAGGAAAAGCAAGAACAGAAAACCTTCAGTCTGGGCGGCCAAGGGTCCCACACACAAGGCACGCGATTCTGTGGGGGTTTCCAGAATGAACAGGACTGAAATGATTGCAAGATGACATGTGCATTCTCAGACAGGTCTGCCTGAAGACTAACTGGAAAACCCTGGATCTGATGACACACAAACAAAATCAGTCTGAAAATGACAAGAGAAACCTTCTGATGACTTCTAGACAGCCCCTGAATTTAACATGAGAGGCAGGGTGGAAGGGCACGAAGACCTGAGACTCATCTGTAAAACGAAGGACTTAGGTTTGTTGCTCAACACGCTTTGAATTTCAAATCTTTAAATCTGAAAATACAGCTCAGAAAATAAGCGCTAAAGGAGAAAAGGATGCATATTCTCACTTGGAAGTTTATTAAAAATGCTTCCATATTCAATTACTATAGAATTTTATCAACAGCGGAATCAGAGCTGGAAGTCTTTTAAAGATCAGCTTCAATTCTCTTATTTTTAAGATTTGAAATATACATTGATAGAGTTTAAGTCACTTGTTTTTTTGGCTCAAGCCAGGCAGAGCCAGGACTCTGAACCTAATTCTCCCTTAGTGGAATCCGCTCCCTGTCCCTATACAATGCTGCCCTCCAGCTAAGTCCCTTCTCAATCTGGGTGTACTTGCTCGGTTCCCTGTGTGTCCCCAATGCGGTCATGTCCTCAGTTGTCAAGAATCAGGAGGATATCATAGAGTTATTACTCCATGGTTGATATTATGTCAAGGAAAAGAAAAAGAAGAAAATTTACTCACCCCAAGAAAACATCCTATTACACATGTTAGATCTCCAACAAAAACCACAGTATGTTCAGATATAAGGAACAGTTTACCATTTTGAAGTCACAAACAGCCTGGCATGGTAATGCAGCTACCATCACAGTTGCAGGGTGAACTGGCACTCACAACAGCCCCTTCTAAGCTTTCCAAGGGATGGGAGACCATCTGACAGGCATCACATTGTTTTGATATCCATAATAACTTCACAGTTGAAAATGATTCAGCCCTTTGAAAGCTGGGAATTCTTATTTAAGTATTTCTTTTCATTTAGTTAGGTACAAAACCTGCGCTGAAGTGAATGCATGGCATTGTTTGCACAACATTGCAAATATCACCTATTGCTTGCATAATAGATGGGCTATGATTTTCTGTCAAGTAAAGTTATAATAGGCTGAATTAATTCCAGGCATGCAGACAGCTTACCTAGTAAATTTGCCCCGTCTGTGCTTACTGATGAGCTAGAAGGCTCAGCTTGTGATGTGTGGGGGAAGCTGTACAATGTACCCAGGGGTTTGAACTGATGCAGACGTTTATACCACCCTGTATAACCCTTTGTTCATACAGGAAACTCTCCTCATGGGCTTACTGAATGACACATGGCTAGCAAGAGCAGGAAAACAAGTCATGAGGGATGCATTTCTTCAGGTCATTAGTGGCTTCCACGGATGAAGGACATGATCCGGGTATTTAATTGTTCCTACCACGTGTCTTACCCAACATCAGAAGGTTGCCCTTCTGGTGCTAAATTAGCATATTCTTGATCTTTCTCATCTTTTATTGGGCATAAAAAAGCCACATTCAAGGGATACTATCCTCTGAAGGCCTTTCTCAAATTCAGCTACCTAGTTTGGATGTCAGAGGTGACAGGAAACGTCCATGCATTTGATTCTGTGATTTGTCCATTGAACTCAGTCTGCTGTGATCATCAGATGGATTCTTTTTCCAAAAGGAAGAATGGGAATGTGTAAGGGAGTAGAAATCCAGAAATGCTGAGCTGTGACACTGCCCAGATATGGACACTGACACACAGAACTTGAGTCAAGTTTCAAATTTTACCTATATTTGGACAAAAGGGCTTAAAATTTCAAACTGAGAACTTTCCAACTTATTAATTTTGACTTTTGTTTAACTTAAATCTAAAAGCATCTGGGTTAATCAGAAACAGAAAATTCTGAAACGTGGTCACTTTCAGAACTCGTTATGGAAACTTCCCAAGACAACTAAGAAGCGTGCTCCGCGCCGCGCAGAGCCCCACACACTTCACTACACTCAGCTGCCTCTCCAGTTCCTGCGAGAGGCTGCCCCTTCTCAGTCCTGCACCTGTATTTCCATACCTCAGCAAACACGAGTATTTAGTTGGGAAAGACTGCTGCCATCTATTTGAACTCATTTCTTCCATTCTTCCCCACTTGTATTATTATTATTTTATGTTATTACTAGTTGATAGCCTCGGGAAGACTTTTTGAGATTCACATTTTAATTTTCAAGCTTGGGTCAAGCTGAGCAGAGTTCAGAAGTGACACATGTCTACTCACATGTGCGGTGTGGGATATGTCTTTGGCTACTACCCCATACCCACATGCAAAGTGTAAATTTTCCTTTTCCAAATCCCTTAGGGCATCCGAGCATGCTTACTTTAGGCAGATGCTTAGGTGCTTTGGTGTAGCAATGGGTGAGGAGAACTGTAGAGAAGAACTCTGGGCAGCAAAGATGATAAAAATGACAACTGCAAACCCATCCACACTTGGCAGGTGCATGAGAGCATGAGAGGTGGATGGAGGAACCTTTTTTTTTTTCATAATTTTCTGGACTTTCCTTTTCTATCATTTGGAATATTGTTATGAAACTTATCAGAGTCCTGCTGTGCTTATATATTTTGTAGTTAGTTATATCTCCAGTCTTCTCATATTTTTTTTTCTCTTGGTATTGAGCAAAGTTTATCCCAAGTCCTGTATATATATAAAACTTTGGTGAAGTTTTAAATCATCTTTATTTTAGTATATTAAACTCTTCACTGGAATTTTATTTTTAAGCAATGACAAACATCTAGCTATAAAATGAAATGCTATTTTACATACACTAACATATTCTTCAAAATGTACGTACCTCTTTTCGTTATATGTTGTTATATGTTACATTTAAGTAAATGAGCATTGGTACAGGAAATGGAAGAGTCTTCCTTGTCTACAGAATAGGGCTTCATCACAACATGATGTAGCATTTTTTCCATTTTAGGAGCCTAGTAACGGTCCTCGGCCTTTAAGACACACACACTGAGCCTAGGGTTTATATAGGAGGTCCTGCAACTTCCCGTGTTTGAGGACCAAGACTAGCTGCATTTCCCCTGCGCATTCAGGGAATATCCACTCCATGATGACAGAAGGAAGACAGCAGCCTCACCTAAGAGCTGCAGGGGCTTCAGTGTTCATTCTAAAGACACTCTTTTAATTACTTTTGAGCAGCTTAAAGTTGCTGCAAGTTACAAGTTCATGATTTTTCAATCAATATGTATCATAAGCAATTTTTTTCCAACTGTGCTTAGAATTTGCTCATTTAAGCAGTCCTACAGTCTTTGCTAAGAGGTCTTTGTTTGTCTCCAAGAGCTGCCAACATTCAGGAAATACGTGTGGGGCCTAGAATAGAGGAATTCTGTTCTCAAGACATACCAGCCACAGTGTGACTCTTTGCTTAATTTCTCTTTAAAAGCACAATTCTCTGCTTTTGTCTTCGTTCCATTTCCAGCTTCTTAGAAATCGTACACAAAACCATTTTGCTCCAATACTTGGGCAGCCAATCTTTACCCAGTTCTGTCTCTTAGGAAATGACACTGGTCATGGACTTTCAAGCACTCAATCTTTCTCTTACACATACAGAACTGCAAATTCTACACAGAATGGCAGAGTTGCCAGATTTAGCAAACAAAAATGCAATTAAATGAAAATTCCAGATAAATACAAAATTTTAAGTGTGTCCCATAATTTTTAGTATGACCCATACAATATGTACTTACATTAAAAAATACTCATTATTCATCTGAAATTCAAATTTAACTGGGTGTCCTTTACCTAGCAACCCTAAGAAGGAACCCACTGCTCGGAAAAGTACATGCACAACCGGCTGCTCTTCCCACAAGTGTTCCCAGCTTTTCCTGATGCCTCTCTGCGCCCTCCACATCTTCCACAGAGCCTTTCTGCTGTGGTTCAGGGCAGGCCAATCCCTCCATCTTCACTTCATTCTCTGTCCTGGATTTTCCAAAAGTTCTTATTCCACTGATCTTTTTAATTAACACTGAAACCGACTATCATATCACACTCATGACAACAGGCCTGGCACCACAGCCGGGACTAGAAATAAAACGTAAACATTCATCACTTGGATCACTACAGCAATTCAGATTAAACACACTGGCGTGTTGGGCTTTTTTTTTCTTTTCTTTTCTTTTTTTTTTAGTCAGAGGGAACAAAGTCCTCCTATTATTCCCAACTCTATAAGGAATTCTCATTTCTGACTCGTTTCAACATTTGTGGAGCTAACATAGTGACTTAGCACATGTCGATTCACACAACCACAGAAGATTGGGAAAAGCATGAAATGTAGTATGTTCTATTTAGCACTGATCACCCACTTACCAGATGATGGAGGTGTAGATTTTCTGGAACTAGGTACAATGTCACCCAAACTGGATGATGAATTTCCTCCTGATTTACTGGGGTAAAGCAAAAAGTTATATTAAATCTGACATTCATTTCAGATCCAGAAACATCTGTATTACTTAATTAACATGACCGTTGTATCTTTACTGAACTTCAAGTTTATCTTTCCTTCAAGGAGGCAAATCTCTGGTGGAGATTCCTGGAGTTCTTGAAACAGCTGTGTGATGGTCTATGTTTTCAAATTCAAGGCTGAATTGCAAAAAGTTCTGAGAGCGTGGAGAGAGCTAGGTAACTTCGCAGCTCTCAGGTTCTCTGGCCGGATCACAGCACTAAGCAGCAGAGATTCCTTAGAGATCATGTATGCAACCTTAAGGCTAACACCCAAACATAATGTTTCCTTCTTGCCTGGTTCCAGCTCCTTCATTTTAGCTTATTTTTAATATAGTAAGACTGAAAGCACCGTAGCTCTTATGAGCAACCTATAAAAGAAGAACAGGACCAAAAGCAACACCAAAACTTGCTAAGCTAACTTTTAAAAAGCACACAAACATGACAGATAGAGCACTCTATGACTGAACCCTCAGATGGTACCAGAACCTTTCTCAAGCACGACTGATACGGAGGATTAAACATGGTTAACTTTGGAATGACGTGGGCGTGGAGAACACACAACACACACTTTAGAGCTATAAAATCCTGAAGATCGACACGAGATTGTGCTTCAGTGTCCCAGAAACCTTGGAGCTGATATTAGTAACACGGCATTCATGTTTGTTATCAGCATGTTAAATAATGTTTTATTGAATGACTTCATCCTGGATGAAGATGGCAAGGAACATCTCAGAGGAATGACCTAGAACTTGGGCAGGAGGAACTCCTTGCCTAGTATTTATGGTCAAGGTGGAGCTGGAAAGATCTGCTACAGTGTATATGCATTAAACGTCAGTACTTACTTACATAAATATTAATATGGAAATATAATTTCCAATAAAGCATCAATAACAGGCTGGATTTTATTGATATTACTTTAGCATTTTAAGGCACAAAATAAATATCTAAAACTTTAGTGAGCAGTTAGCAAGAGGGTTGTATATCTTTTGAAGGTTCTTAAGTGTTACTTCAGTACATTTAATGAGGATATAAGACAGTATTCTAAATTAATAACGGTGGTACTTATAGAAGCCATGTCTGGCAGAAATATAAGCACACCTATCACCAAGACCAAAATTTTTTCTTCCAGAAGTTTAGTTTTTTTTTTTTTTAATTTTATTTATTTTCTAAAGTCCTAATTCTAATTTCAGTTCAAGCACAGGTTGGTTTTATATTCTCTTTCAGTTTCAATAAGAGTCAAAATGTTACTTGGGTTTTAAAACAATTGAGGCAAACATTGTAAACAGTGATACAGATTTGCCCTTAACTTCTCCTTCTGCGAAAATGCCAAGTTCTTAAGCCATGCTCAAATTCTATTGCCTTTGATTTCTCAATTTTTATCATTTATACATCAGAGTTTATAAACACTGCCAGACTCTGGTTATATTGTCTGAACAAAACCATGTGTAAAATGTTAGGGGCAAATTAAGAAACTATGTAAGCAAGCACACACATTTTCAGATATTTAGGCAAAGTTTGGGCAAAAAGAGAGGAGAAAACAAAATGAAGCAAACCAAAAGACAAGGTGTATCATCATGAGAAACCCAATTCTCTAGATTAGATTTTACACTCTCCAAATAGGAATAATTTATTGTTCTTTTAAAAAATGCAATAGAGAAAACAAAGTATGAGGGTCCTCAAACAATTTGTGGAGCGACAGTCTAGTGCTTACGACACTCACGTCCCGTAAAACAGTATCTAAGTTTGACACCCAGCTCCAGCTCCCAAATCCAGCTTCCTGCTAAGAAAGATCCCGAGAGGCTACAGTGATGGCTCAAGTAATTAGGTTGCTGCCACCCACACAGGAAACTTAGATGGATTTCCTGGCTTCTAGTTTTGGCCCAGTCTATCCCTGGCCATTGTGAGCATTTGAAGAGTGAACCAGAGGGTGGGAGCTTGGTTTCTTTCTTTCTCTGTCATGCAAATTAAACAAAATAAAAACTTTTTGGAAAATGGAATTAGAAATTAGGTTTACTTTGGTGCAAAAAATTTTAAAATCCATGAAGGTCTTCAAAAAAGTCATAGAAAATGCATGTTGTGAAAAGTATGCATGGATTTCCAAATTTCTGCATCAAACCAGACATCTTTTCATTTCATATTCTGTCAACTTTTTCAAGTCCCCTCTTATTTACTAAATAATATTAACTAGTATTCAGATACCACTATCAGTACAGTGAGTAGAAAAATACACAATAAATGCTAATAGAACATTAGAGATTGAAAGACTAGGATCATATCTTCAAATACCCTGTAGGCAAAATACATAATTTTTCTACATGCCTCTGCTTTTACATGAATAAATGCTTCTCACAAATGGAAGTCCTCCAATAATGCAGGAATTCATGAAAGTCAGCTCTAGGGTACAGGTCTCGACACAGAGGAGTCAAGTTCATCTGAACTAAAGAGCTTGATAATTAAAACTAGCATGTTAGTGAAAAAGAGTATTCCAAATTACAAGGCGTATTCCATTTCGTTTGCTCGTTGGCACTTGAAAAAAATCCTAAGAGTGAAATATTATTATATTACAAAGAAACCTGCATCACTTAGAAACAAGTAAGATAGAAGCTAAAGGAGACAGAAAGCTAGCCACACACAAGACGGAGTAATCTTGCCTGTGTTCCGTCCTTGCACACAGGAAAAGATGCCCACCCCTTCCACTTGTCTGCGGAGGGTTCAAATTAAGATTCACCACAGTTAGGAGCAGCTCTTCACGAGGGGTACGCAGCCCCAGAATCCTGGGAAGGATTATTCCGCTGCAGCCTATTACTTAACTCCGCTGCAAAGGCAATTTTAACTTGTTTCACACTTAGCTTCTCCTTGAGTGCTCAACAGTGGCTACAACTGAAAATTGAGTTTCTCAGGTGAAAATGAAACTGATAGATGAAAAGAGCTGCTATCTGCTGATGTCGTCTTGAAAACGTCTCCCTGTCATGCCAGGCAGCTGCGGACACTGGGATTCATCACCAGTGCTACTCCCTCCGTGCCAGAGCCCTTTCAGGAGACAGTGAGGACTTCAGAATTTCTTGGGCACTGAAGCCCGAGTTCAGCACTCTGTGACCTCCGCAATTTTCATAACGATGATTCAGGATGATTCCCTCCCGAATCTCGGAGGGGAATCAGATGCTGGAATTAAGTTTTTAAAATGTAAATTTGTATTGTATTCAGTAAGCGTACCACCAGTCTCCCTTCAAACACACACTAAGGGATGCAGAATACAACAAACAGAAGTACCGAACGGTGGTGTGATCTCAACTTTTACCAAAGCACTTGACATTGCTCTCATACCTGGAGTAGAATTTCCCTTGCTTTGCTCTCTGTTCATGCTGTAGCCTCATGTTTTCTAGTTTGACCGGGCTTGGAATGAATCCGATTTCACAGCCTTCTTTAACCAAACGCCCTATCCACCAGTCATTGTTAAATTTCTAAACACAAAATCAAAATTATTACAATCAGTGCACAGGAGTAAAATCTCTGAATTACTTTTCTTCCATAACAACCATTTCAAACGGAGCAAGATATGGCAATGAACTACATGATAACTATCGAAATTCAAGGAAGCTTTCAGGCCATGGGTTTAGTGCATAGATGTGAAATACTCTCCGCACGCTTAGCATTCCATCAAAGGTTTTCTGCTCTTTTTCCTGGTGCTGCTTTAGGTCCGGGATGAATTCCTTCCCAGCTGATGCTGTCATTATGGGTAAGACAAGCTTCCTGGGTTCAAAGGTTAGCAGCCCTTCCTAGTAAGAGACTGTAAGGAACTTGGAGGTGTTACAGAGATCCTTCTTAGGTAATCAGATTAATTAGAAGTATTAAGAGAGAGAGAGAGAAACAGTGAAATCTACTTGAAATATTTTGTCACAGTAAAATTTCCCACTGTGCAGTTTTATAATTACTAAGCTAATGTTCACAGATGATTTCTCTATGTGTACCAAGGCTGACACTTTATCTCTTGCTGTTGGAACATTTATCTTAAACCTTTATGATTTGCGCTCACATTCCTCAATCACATCAGCCTGTTCTTGAACACATCAAAGACTATCCATTCTCTCTTTCTTTTCCTTCCGTGGTAGAGATCTTTCTCTAGGCATCAGCCATCGAGAGGAGACCCTGTATCAATCTAACCTCCTGTTGTAAAGTCAGATGCGAAGCATTCCATCATTTCTGTCTTCCTACTTAGCCAGTATTTCACATCTTAGGAGTTATGACACAACACCCTCTAAATTCCCTACTCCTTTAATTGGCAGTCATATTCTTCTGTGCTCACAGCCTTCAGAGCAGTGAACAGTTAGATTTACATATGTTCCCTCCGATTTATCAGCCCTATGCACGCTCCAACTGTAAATCCCAAAAGGTCCAAGAAAACCTCATGCTCACTCACTGAGAACATTATGTAGGGGGAATTCCTGGTCACTTAATACAGTGTCCCACACAGAATGCATATGATAAATGTTGACTCAAAACAAACTTTAATTAAGGGTGCATTTTTCCCATTTACAGATTGTGTCACTGTTATCTAAAAGATAGTGATGTCTAGCATGGAGGAAAAGCAATGTTCCTGATGTGTTTCTTGCCTCATTGGCTCCAATTCCTCTCATTCTCCCCTCTGCTGCAAAAAGTTAGCTTCTGAGAATTAAGGAGGGGCACCAGTAGTCTGGTTCAGCCACTGTCAGCACCTGGGAGTCATCAATTCTGGATACTAACCTCTCCCCAGGTGGCTAAATTTCAGGTAGCAGGAAAAGCCACACAGAGTCAAAGTTAAACATTAAAAGAAAGTAGCAGTTAAGCATAAAAAAGGATCATCTACTCTAGGAGTATCCAATTACTGGGCCAAAGAGCCCAAGTGAGCCCTGAAGTTATTCTGGGAGGCTTGGATTCCTGTCTCCTTTAAAAAAGTGTGTTTGGATGGGAAAAAAGGCTGAGAACCACTGATTTAGTGTGAATGTTACACAAATGTAGCTGTACACCGAGCTATTTCACAGCAATAAGAAACGATGCTTCAAGGTGAAAAATCACACTGACAGAAACTGCAATTATTTTCCTTACTTCCTTAACATGCAGAAAATCTTTTGCTTCAAATGAGATGGCCATGCCTGGCACTGGGACATCATCTTCGTGGGCAGCACTGTAGCTGACATTTGTCCGAACAGCAAATGCAACAGGCTTTGTCTAAAGAGGGAAAAGAAAGGGACAAAAAATAAGAAGAAATGAAGCAACAATGCCCCCTCACCCTTGCCTCCCAAGGCGCAGATACACAGAATAACTGGTGGGGTAATCTTGGTTGTTTTAGTCCATGATTCCTTGTCACAAAACAGCCTGTTATCATCCACAATGCACGAGATCTGGCCATCAGCTACATACCATCCATTTGTAAACTAGAGCAAGACCACTGTTCTCTGTGAACAGTTAAATACAGGTTTACAGTACAACATCTTGTAGCACCTAGAAGTCAGGAAGCACAAATATGAATAAAACACCAAATTCTTTGGTTCAAGAGGAAAAGACTCAGTAACTTCCCTCTACCCAAAACATCTACTTCAATGAATCATTAGTAACATAGTTCCAAAAGGGACAATATTTTGAATGAAAAAAGAACCAGGAAATGAATGTCTATTACAACTATAGCAACTATTATTCATGACTGTGGGGAACTGTGAAAGCAATGACCTTTTATTCTATTATTTTTCCACCTTGAGTTTGCTCAGTCATCAAAGATAACATTAATTAAGCTATCATTCATTATTTGATGCTTTAAAAATTTACAGCTAAGTATGTGTTCCAGGCAACAACTGCTTATTCACAAGATAGAAAAACGGAAGCTCAGAAATGCTGAAAAGAGGTTTGGTCTAACTCAGTTTTATTTTTTTGTTTTTTATTTTTTTTATTTTTATTTTTATTTTTTGACAGGCAGAGTGGACAGTGGAAGAGACAGACAGAGAGAAAGGTCTTCCTTTGCCGTTGGTTCACCCTCCAATGGCCGCCGCGGCCGGTGCGCTGCGGCCGGTGCACCGCACTGATCCGATGGCAGGAGCCAGGAGCCAGGTGCTTTTCCTGGTCTCCCATGGGGTACAGGGCCCAAGCACCTGGGCCATGCTCCACTGCACTCCCTGGCCACAGCAGAGAGCTGGCCTGGAAGAGGGGCAACCGGGACAGAATCCGGCGCCCCGACCGGGACTAGGCCTTTTTTGTTTTTTTTTTAACACTATGTTTCCACCACATTAGGAGTAAGATTTCTTCTGAGCTGTTTCTCCCCTACTCAAGGAGCTCTTCATCTGGTCTTGCAAGGGAGGGGCTGAAATAGAGAGTACCCATTCAAATTTTCCACAGTTAATCTGTTGTACCTGCTGTCTGGGTTGGAGACTGAACTAAGGGTCCTAAAGTAGTTTAAACATACCCCCCAAGATGCAGACTGGGAAAACAGAATCAAGTTCTGGATACAGGCACCATAGACAGGAAGTAGATTTAGATAGTTGAAAGCCAATTCTTGGTATTCATGAAGATTTTTAAATAATATATAGATGGTTCCCTTGGCCTACAAATATGACATTTAAAACTGTGTAAGGAGGGCCGGCGCCACGGCTTGCTAGGCTAATCCTCCGACTGCGGTGCACTCCAGGTTCTAGTCCTGGTTGTGGCGCTGGTTCTGTCCTGGTTGCTCCTCTTCCAGTCCAGCTCTCTGCTGTGGCCCAGGAGGGCAGTGGAGGATAGCCCAGGTCCTTGGGCTCTGCACCCGCATGGGAGACCAGGAGGAAGCACCTGGCTCCTGTCTTCGGATCAGTGCAGCGCTGGCTGCTATGGCCATTTGGAGGGTGAACCAACGGAAGAAAGACCTTTCTCTTTGTCTCTCTCTCTCTCACTAACTCTATCTGTCAAAAAAAAAAAAAAAAAAAAAAAGTGTAAGGAAAATGTGACCACTGGGCCGGTGCTGTGGTGTAGCAGGTAAAGCTGCTGCCTGCATCCCACATGGGTGTTGGTTTGAGACCCGGCTGCTCCACTTCTAATCCAGCTCTCGGCTATGGCCTGCAAAAGCAATAAAAGATGGCCCAAGTGCTTGGGCCCTTAAACTCGCATGGGAGACCTGGAAGAAGCTCCTGGCTCCTGGCTTTGGATTGGTCCAACTCTGGCCAGTGCAGCCATTTGGGGAGTGAACCAGCAGATGGAAGACCTCTCACTTTGCCTCTGCCTCTCTTTAACTGTGACTTTCAAATAAATAAATAAATATAAAAAAAAAGTTAATGATTGTTCTACTGAAACATAAGCCTTAATAACATCTGGTATTTCCATTTCCTTCTTGGAATTTTTTTAAATATGTGAACTTTTTTCCCAGAGCTGCAATCATAATGCATTTGATTTTATCCAGTTTTAAATGTAATATATTACTCAAGTGATATATTTGTTAAACTACCATGTAAAAATAAACTAAACCATTAATTCTTTTTTTGGATCATTAGGCTTACAACTTTAAAAAATATGAATATTCTGCTTTGAAAAATCTCTGTACAAAAAGCCTCTATTTTTTTTTCAGATTCCCAGAGGTAGAATGAGGAAGTCATGAGTTTTTTAAGACCTTTTTAGATTTTATTTCAAATTATTGTCCAAATGGCCTGTATTATTTTATACTGCAACCAGCATGCCTCTTTCAATTAGGGAGAATCTTAATCAGACCCAGTTTTACCATTGGAAATAAAATTTTCCTTATCATATCCACCTATTATTTGGGAGAGTCTCTAATCACCAAAGTAAAGCACCAAGATTTTTTTTTAATGGGAACATGGGCTTCTACTTCTTTAAGGGTATTTTATTCATCATATGATACAGAGTTTAAGTGTTGGCAATTTTCATCACTGCCAGAAATAATTTTTTAATGCACAACACTAGAGAGGACTTCACAGAAAATCTCATGTCTTTTTGCAACTTCTATGAACTTTTCGAACATTTGAGTAGTGGGCAGAGAGGACTCTGAAAAAAGGAAAAAGAAATGACAGGGCTGATAAAGGCTGGCGTATAATTCCAGGGGCCACAGATAATCACCTGATGCTCTGAGACTAAGATGTCAGTTGGGAATGGGCCTCGTTCTTTGCCTCACCTCCTATGACCGATGACACTACCATTAGAAGTGGAGATTTATATGGAAATCAACTCTACAGATACACAGGTAGGAAAGAACAGCAGAATTCTGTACCTTGACAACTTCAGGAACTATGTTTCTAAAATTAGACTGGAATATGTAGCCAAGGTGATGATATTGGGGGGGAACAAATATAACCAAGATACAAACTTAACAGCCCGCAAGAAAGACCCCAGGAAGGTACCCAAAGGGGCCAAATGACAACATCACTTGATTGCCTGAACTTGCTTCCACTCCACTGAGCTGAAAGAGTGTGTCTACCATGTGATGGCACATGCCACGGTCACTTCATTCACATGGATTTGACACACAGGATCTTAAATAAGCCTGAATTTTGAAAGTTGATTCTACCAATTAGTAGGTGAATGAACTAGGGAAATCTTGTCCTCTGGCTGAGCACATGATCTCAAGGCTAAAATGAGTGTAATAACGTAATAATAACCATTTAGAAATTTTGTATATATTTGAAAGCCAGAGTTAGAGAGATGGAAACACACACACATACACACACACACAAAATCTTTCATTCACTGGTTCACTCCCCAAATGGACTCAATGGCCAGGGCTGGGTCAGGCCGAAGCCAGGAGCTGCATCTGGGCCTCCCAGATCAGTGTGGGGTTCCAGCACTTGGCCATCTTTGGCTGCTTTCCCAGGTGCATTAGCAGGGAGCTGAATCATAATTGTAGCATCCGGGACTCAGACCAGTGCCTATATGGGATACCAGTGTCACAGATGGCAGCTCAACCTGCCACACCACAACGCTGACCCCCAATAATACCTGTCTTGCCAAGTTGTTTTCATATCACAGAAAGTGCATGTCATTAGGCTGGGCTAGTGTTTGGTATATACCTTAAATGCTCCATTAATGGGCACTGGCTATATAACAAGATAAATGCTAAATATAGGTAAATGCTTCTCCATATTTACTCTCTGTTAAGGGCCAACACACATCATTTCCTCTGTGCTCTTCCAGTTTCTCCCTCCTCAGACCAAATGACGTAACACAGTTTAATACCTGATATATGACATATGCTAAGTGGATGCTATATTTGAGATGTTTCTGTCCAATATGGATTCTTTCATACTCCCAAGGATATGAGACAATGGTAAGCTTTCCCCATATTCATTTTGGTGATGCAGATGTTCTCTTTAATTGACTTTCTTTGATAGTGCTCAGATATTGTAGTTTTTTTTTTTTTTTTTTTTTTTTTTTTTTTTGTTCTGAAACCAATTTGAAGTTCCAAGGAAGTTTCCAAATTCTTATCCCATGCAAGAGACTTGGATGGAGTTCCAGGATCCCAGATTTTGACTGTCCAAGCCTGATTTTTGAGGTCATCTGGGGAGTGAACCAGCAGATGGAAGATTTTTCTCTGTCTCTCCCTCTCCTTGTATCACTCTGACTTTAAATAAACAAATATTTTTTTAAAAAATTCAGTTATCTCACTCCGAAGTCCAAGTCCCTTCTGCAGTTCTTGACTGCCTTTCACTCAAAGGGGTACATGATGGCAACCTAGAGCACTGAGATGTGCAAACTGTGGAAACTGAAAGCTGTATTTTACAAAAAGCTAAGAAAATGGATTGGTAGAAAAAAGTGTAAAAAATTAGGCCCACGTCTACCTTGAGCAGTTAGTTTCACATGTTAGAATCATGGATCTTCTTTATAAAGGTCATATATTTCCCCACCTTCCACTCAAATCAATTTGAGATCCAATAAATCAATGGCAATGTCAAATCAGGTTTTGGTTAGTTACAACTTTTCTTCTTTCACATCTCTGTCACAATCTTTAAAGAGAACTTCCATGCAAAGTTGGGATATTAAAATTCATATGGTCTCACAGCTTCCAAAGGCCCCCACATAGACCCTACATGGGGAGAACTAAAAGGCCACACAGGTACACTAGCTCTCAAAGAGTAAGCATGAAGTCACACAAAATCCCTTAAGTTTAAGGATTTTTAACTAGCCTTAACTGTTGGGAACATTTTAACTTTGTTTTGCAAGTTGAAGTCTTTGGTTAAAAATTCATCCCTCTTTTAACAGCA